AAAGCCATGGCAAACCTCCTCTGAACAAATCTTGCCAAGAAAACCCCACAATAGATTTGCCTTAGGATTGCCATAAGTCAAAAACTACTTGGAGGCACAAAACAACAACAACAACAACAAGCAAAGACACTTTCCTGCCATAACTGAGTTCATAGTCCTTCCACACTAAAATTCATTCATTCTTCCCACCACTGCCTTTATTCATTTGCATAGTTTAATTTGAGTGAGAAGTAATTTGTTTATTGAAGGCAAAATACTCAAGAGGTCTGCAAGTAGATACTGATCTACCAATCTGCCTATCACCTCATTACATTATTTTATTAGTGAGTGTAAGGAAGGGTGGCTTTTGAAACCTGAGCGTTTTTATTTGAGAAAGCACAAAGTGGGAGTCATGGGAGTACAAATTATATTGATAGAGGATTTCCTTTCCAGGAATTGGAACTGGGAACTGGAATAGTCCAGTTTTCTTTATTTTGAACATGGAGTGTTGTGATAATTCTCAATGTAATGAAAATATTGTCCTGGTGCTATGAAGAATTAGGCTGTGGAATTCAAATTTCATTCAGAAGTTTACAATCTTGATTATTATTATCATTTATTTATATCATTATTTATAGTTACATCAATATGCATTGCGCTTTACAGAGAAAACAACCAAAAACAGTGGGTCCTGCTAAAATGTGTGTGTGTGTGCATGTGCATACATATACACATACACACACACACATACGGGGGAAGAAAGGAATAATAAGAATATAAAACTATACAATACAGTTGTAAACCAAATTATTCAGATAAAATATTAAAAATATAATATAAAGCAAATAAGCAAATACATATAATCAAAATATGCAAAATTATAAAACAATATTAAACCAAAATTCCAAAAGCTTTGGAAAACATGTTTTTAATTCAGATAAAAAAAATTTAATTTGCTAGAAAGAAAGCTATATTAGGTACAGTTAGCAAGCTGGAATTGAAATTTTGGAAAGCCATGGAAATTTGATAAATAGGGTTGGGGCAGTACATCAGGATGTAAAAACTGAAAATGAAAAGTACCACTAGTGTTAAAAGGAGTCTGTTTTATCTTATTTGCATGAGTGTTGGTTCAAGAAGTGGTCCCTTAACTTCTTATGCAAATAAATAGCTAATTCTTTCAGCCTGGTTCTATATGGGTTTCCACATGGTTTCTAATTAAAAAAAAAAGAAAAAGAAAGATACCCGTATTTTCCGGTGTATAAGATGACCCGCGTATAAGACGACCTCCATTTTTCCAGTCAAAATATAGAGTTTTAGCACTTCCAGCCTCCTTATCCTTATACCTGGCGTATAAGACGACCCCCCCCACTTTAACCACAGATTCTGCAGGTTAAAAAGTAGTCTTATACGCAGGAAAATAAGGTAAAACTTGCCGAAAGCCAGTGGCTTCCATGATAACACCTTCTCTTTGTTACAGTTTTTATTCACTCAGCTTTCCCACCCTTGGTGTCTGTGCAGTCTAAATCAGTGCTAATCAAAGTGGTGGTTCATAGATTGGTGCCAGGCCTTAAGCCATTGGCTGCCAGTCTTTGGATTTCCAGGAAAAAAAGAAACATTTATTTTATTTTATTTTATTTTATTTTATTTTATTTTATTTTATTTTATTTATAGGCTTCCTTTCTCTGCAGAGAGACCCAAGGCGGCTCACAGACATTCAAAATAATTAAAATTATTAAAAATAATTAAAATTCAAAATAATTAAAAACATCCAATGGGCCAATTACAGCCAATGGGCACAAGTATGGTACCATCACTGAACCTTCTCAGTCTTCTGCTCTGTCTTCTGTACCGTGTAAGATTTTTGATTTGCTCCTGACCTACTACTATTAGGAGCAGAGGTCTTACACCACAAATGGATAACCTTTAGCGCACCATATGTTTTGCACTACACAATCCCTCCTTACCTTTGGCCATGTTGTATGGGACTGATAGGAGTTGTACTCTGGAGACCAGGGTTCAAATCCCTGCTCAGCCATAGAAACCCACTGGGTGACCTGGGGTGAGTTACATACTCTCAGCCCCAGAAAACCATGTGATAAGTTCACTTTAGGGTTGCCATAAGTCAGAACTTACTTGAATGCACACAACAACAACGAATGTGGATTGGGCAGGGAAGAAAACTAGGGCTTCCTTTTTTTATTTGGCAGGAGAATTACAGGCTTACTTTACAATATGCAACCTTTTACTGGGGTGGCTTTCTTGGTCTTGACTACAATGGGAACCTGGTGCAGCCTACTTGTGGGCTTTCCTGCCAGACTGTTCTGTCCACATGGAAACTTTCCCAAATGGTAAATTCTGACTGAGGGGGGTTGCAGACTGTCAGAAATAGTGCAAATTGAGTCCACTTTTAGGGTTAGGGTTAGTGCTAGGGAATCATGGGAATTGTTTTTTTTTTTTTTTTCTGAGACATTGAGCCTTCTCTGTCAGAGCGCTCTGGTGCCACAATAAACTACAGTTCCTATAATTCCCTAACCCTAAAAGTGGACTCAATTTGCACTATTTCTGGCAGTCTGCAACCCCCCTGAGTTGCCACCACTAGCTAACCAGACCCTTCATCATATTCCCTGTCCCAGAATTCATAGAGAAGGATACCACTTCCTAGGATCACCACAACCTAGGGAGGTTGAAGAGGAAAAAAGTGGTCCATTCCAGGTAATGGACCTCCAAAATTCCAGCTGCTTTTGCATTTAGTTGGATTTAGTTCCCTTATTCAGTTACATTAAGGTCCAGATCCTACATGTGCACACAGTTCTGCTTCCTCCTACTGTGCAAGAGCTGACAGGTCCTGGGATTTAGGTCAAGATGCTGATCTAAATGTTGCCATTATTGACAAGACTGCAAGATCCAACTCAGGTCGCCTTAATAAGGCAGAGGAGTGGCAAATGGATTTCCATCCACCAGCCCAGCAGAACCTCAAACTCCTAGTCGTCTACCATTCCATCTCTAATCTGCATCATCTTCTTCCTCCTTGTATAGCAAATTAATCTTGGTACAGCCTACTACCCCCTTTATAGTTCTGAGGATCCATCAGTTCCATTTTTAAAATGTTTCCTAAGGATCCTGACTATAGAATGAAAGGATCCATCCAAGCAGCTCTCTTTCTGCATTATAGGCTTGCTCAAGTTTCCTGTGTGGTATGGCCTAGTGGTAGCCTTTATATCTAAGGTGGTCTTCCTGAGCCTCTTGTGGATCAGGTGACAGGAAGAATAGTATGACCTTATGCTAACTATATGAGGCTGTGGCAGAGATAGGAATGTGTGGGCTTCAAATCCCATAATTCTTCACCA